ATATATATATATATATATATATATATATATATATATATTTTTATTACGTTTATTACCACGGCTCGTAAGCTTACATTTACAACAATCTCAGATGTTTCGAAAATATATGCAAACAAACCCACGGTTTATGGATGACCCTCCAAAAATGTAGATAATCAAATCGAGTGGAGCTGAGATATCAGGTCAGATCCGATGCCATTTGTAAAATTCTTCCTTTGATTTTGTCAAGAATCTGTAAGTGAATAGTAGTAGATTTATAACTAGGAAAGATGGATTCTGGTGACAGAAAATGTCTAGCAGGACAGAGTGAAACAAGTTTCCAAAGCAGCAGACGAACCAATTGATTCAATATAATCGTTCCAGTTTACGCTTGCGGAAAAAGCTAGAAGGATTGGACATTTATTTCTCAGGAGGTTAATAGCAACCATGCCGATGGAAGGCAAAATATGTTCACCGAGACGATTACAAATATTTTTGCCTTTGATCAACATGACTGATGTTAATATCCTGCAAGGTATTTCATTGTCTAACATTTTTCACTGATTTAAACTTGAACGGTTATATTGAACCAGTTGCTATGACTACCACCTCTAATCGAACGTCTCTATTTTAATCTTACAGGTGGAGAGCAGACCGGTTAAGGAAGCAAATAACGATATACGATTATTTTCATTGAATAATCTAGGTATTTGGAGGTGACATTCTTATTTATCGCCGATGAATCTTCAGCTAAATATATTAGACGCGCGCAAGGTGTGTAGAAGATCGGATTTACGACATTACATAGTCCAATTAGCAAGGGGAAACAGTGAGTAAGCTACTAAACAAAAATAATGGTAACGGGTTAAAAGATAGTCAGTGCAATAAAAGGTAAACTGGTATATCTGTTTAACGTCATATCAACATCTTGTGGGTCATTTAATGACGATTTAATGTCCTTGGGAGCTTGGAAGTAATAAAAATACAATTTTATGTTATTCTGCCTTCACAGTTGAGTACATGGTAGATGATACTCAACATTTGTGCATAGACATGTTTGTGTGGACAGTTACTAGAAGATGTGATATGTCTGTTTTATGTTGTAGATTTGCTGAAGTTACATTTTGTAATACAGTGGGATATAAGAAACTGTAGGATATTATATGGATTAATGTTCTGAAAGTGTTCTGTACGAAAAACGGATTCGGACATGTCCTGCATGTAGAAAAGTCCTCAAAAGAAAATGGCGACTTTATAAGTCGTATATTTAAACAAGATAGATCTCGAAGTCGTATAGACTTTTGTGAGTGTCTCTTTTAACCTATGCAAATTTGAAATGCTACTAAATCTATAAAACGTGCTTGAAGAGGCAACAGAAAGAGGTGCGACTGCTGTATCGAACAGGAGACACGTGTTGTTAGATTAATTGACTAACACTACTCTGTTGGTTAAAGAAAACGAATTAGGGAACAAGCCTGAAGATACCCACTACATCTTTCATGTTATTTGCTATTATTTTAAACAGATTTGGGTGAAGTCAATGCAGTTATTATTATGTAGATATTGTTACTATAAAATATATTGTTGGTAATTTTTATATAAAAAATGTATTGCTAGTATTTTTACCATAAAAAATGTGTATTATAATGTTTTGTTTTTGTTTGGACCCTAACAGGTGCTTACAACCCAGTGTTGACTCCTCGAAACTTGCAATCGCCCATTTAGAATCCTTGCTGCCGGATGTGCAATAAGAGCTAAGAAGTTGTGGAGAGCCGTAACTGTTCATGTGTAGAATAGAACTATAAGAGGCTGTGTTCATTTTTTTTCTTCTTGATGTCGGTGTGATTCGTAATTTTTCATTTCACATAATAATCAGAATACTGAATAAATGCCCAACCAAAAATCTCAGATCGAGGCTTCTAGCTGCCAAAATGGCGTCGATTTCTCATTCTGCACGTTTTCTCTTCATTTTCTCGCTCTTTTCAGATCGTCCTTGACAGGTTCGTAGAAACAAATCCGCTTTTCGTCACGGTTCTTTAAGTGAGTGTGTGAAAGAAAAAGAAATATCATAAAGGAACGCCTTTATTGAATGAAGCCCTCAGGATTTTTTTTTCATTTCTTTCTTTGTAGTTACATTCGTCAATTATCTTTCTAATATTTTTTTACTGTCTTTAATATAATATTCTTTAATTTATTTTAGTCACAAAGATCCATTCTTTCTTTTTTTTTATTCGTTTTATTTTACGCCACTTATGTCTTTCTTCTTCTTCTCTCTTTCATTCCTTCATTTTTGCTAATTTTTTATTTCCTTTTCTTTTATTAATCTTTCTTTCATTTTGTATTCTATCCTCCAGAAGTTATTTCTCGTTGCAATGAATTTCTGTTTTTTTTTATGTATTTCAGAAATGAATTCTTTCTTTTTTTCATTCAATCTTTTTCATTCAGCATTATGATTTCTGTCTTATTTTAACCAAAATCTAAACTAATAATTAACATTATTTCTCTCATCTTTTATTTCTCTTTTCTTCGTCGCTTTAATCTGTCTCTCTGTCTCTTTCTCCGACTCTCTCTCTATTTCTCTTCGGAGTCATCAGTTGGTTCATATCTATGTCAATATATTCTTTATCTCTGTGTCTCATGATTTCTTTGTAAAGGTTTGGAAAATTTCACACTTACAAGAGATGTTGACGATAACAAGGATAGAGGAAGACAGTAAGTAACCGATCTAACAAGCTTGTATAAATGGTTGACACAGTAGGGACGGGGAGGGATAATAACGACTCGGACATTGCTTCTATCTATCTATCTATCTATCTATCTATCTATCTATCTATAGTCTGTCTGTCTATCTGTCTATTTCATTTTGTAAATATATATCTATTTCAAACTGATAGTAACTATCTATCTTTTTCAGTCTGTTCGTATCCTTTTATCTATATCTGTTAATTATTTAGTAAGTTCATATCTATCTATCTATCTATCTATCTATCTATCTATCTATCTATCTATCTCATTTTGTTAAAATTTCTATCTATCTACTTCTGATCATATTTATCTAGCTACCTATCTATCCACCTTTGTTCACATCTATCTATCTCATTTTTTTAAACTTTCTATCTATCTATCTATCTATCTATCTATCTATCTATCTATCTATCTATCTATCTATCTATCTGAGTCTGTTCATATCTACTATCTATCTTTATACATTTTGCCCTCATGAATTTTTATCAGTCTGCTTTGTCTTTCACAATGTTTTCCCAGCTCAACCTTTTTTTTTCCTTCGATCCTCAATCTATTTTACTTTTCATCATATTTTCGTTTTTCAGCAGGAACGTTCTCTTTTTGTTTTAATCCTTTCACCACAAACAAGGCGATAATGTCACTACGACGCAAGAGGTCACTCGGAGAAAACATAATTACGAGAAAAATCAATAAAAGTGCACTAAAGGTACCAAGGAGGAAAGCTCATCAGAACATTTGACATGAAAATATTTACAGAACAAAACAAAGAGAACCTGCATCACGGCGATGGTAATGTGACAGAAGCCGAGATGCCAGGGCAGGACTAATAACATTACAGTCTTTGGATTTTATCGAGAATCTCTAGACATATAGCCCAAGCACAGAACGTCATATGGCAGCAGTATTTAATGCACGGTCAAATGGTAGATTTATAAATATGCAAATTGGGTTTGGTCGTAAAATATTGTCTGACACGACACAGTCTACTAAACGTTTCTGCAGCAGTCCTAGCAATTAATTCAATATAATCGATTTACTTCATGTCAGCAGAAAATGCGAGATCAAGAACGTGCAATGAGTTGCTCTCATGAAGGTTAGCATCATCCATGCTGAATGAGGGCAAAAATAGTTCTGTGTGATGATTAAATGGTAGTGTTTTCGCTTTGGGGGCGTTAAGCCATTTCATGAACCAACTGACTGGGGGTAATTTTAGAGAGCAGCTGCGGTTTTACTATGTCGGAAATATTGCTGTGACTGTGACGACAGAAGTAAAAAGTTGTTTCATCAGCATAAATTCTTAGCTGGGAATTGATGACATCCGGAATGGTGTTGATAAAGTTAAGAGACAAAGTAAGTTCAGTTTTTAGCGTTGCTTCTTCACTATCTCGCTCTCTCTTCCTCTCTCTGTTTCTCTTGCTGTGTTGTTCTTTCTTCATTTTTCGTAAATATGAACTCTTTCTTTCTTTATTTCTTTCTTTCTTTCTTTCTTTTTCTTTCTTTCTTTCTTTCTTTCTTTCTTTCTTTCTGTCTCTCGTAAATATAAATTCTTTCTTTCTTTCTTATTTCTCCCTGTCTCTTCCTTTCTTTCTCTCGCTCTCTTTCTCTTGCTCTGTTTTTCTTCATTTATTATTTGTAAATATGAACTCTTTCTTTCTTTCTTTTCTTCATCTTCCATTTCTTTCTTTCTTTCTTTCTTTCTGTCTCTTTCTTTCTCTCGCTCTCTTTCTCTTACTGTGTTATTCTTCATTTATTTTTCCTAAATATGAACTCTTTCTTTCTTTCTTATTTCTTTCTGTCTCTTTCTTTCTCTCGCTCTCTTTCTCTTGCTGTGTTGTTCTTTATTCATTTTTCGTAAATATGAACTCTTTCTTTCTTTCTTTCTTTCTTTCTTTTCTTCCTCTTCCATTTCTTTCTTTCTTTCTTTCTTTCTTTCTGTCTCTTTCTTTCTCTCGCTCTCTTTCTCTTGCTGTGTTGTTCTTTATTCATTTTTCGGAAATATGAACTCTTTCTTTCTTTCTTTCTTTTCTTCCTCTTCCATTTCTTTCTTTCTTTCTTTCTTTCTTTCTTTCTTTCTTTCTCTCGCTCTCTTTCTCTTGCTATGTTGTTCTTTATTCATTTTTCCTTAAATATGAACTCTTTCTTTCTTTTATTTGTTTCTGACTCTTTCTCTCTCTCTCTCTCTTTCTCTTGTTGTGTTGTTCTCCATTCATTTTTCGCAAATAGGAATTCGTTCTTTCTTATTTCTGTCTGTCACTCTCCTTTTCTCTCTCTCTCTCTCTCTCTCTCTCTCTCTCTATCTATCTATATATATATATATAAATATATTCCTCTTTTTTAAGGCAATTCACCCAAAACAAGGCTGGTGAGCCACTAAAACTCAAGGTGTTAGACAGGATTAAGAACAAGAGCAAAGATACGTGTTTGAGGAAGGGATACAAAGGAGGACCGTGAACAAGCTCAGGGTGTCAGATGTCAATTGAGATTACACTTGAATATTTGAAGATTATAGTCATCGGGGAAGCAAGTAAAGGAAAGGGAGTTCCACTGTCGGGAAGTACGGGAGAAGAAGCTGTTTGAGAAGATTATATTTAACCGTTTTGATAGTGAAAGAGTGAGACCTAGATTCCAGCCTGTTAAGCACGTTTAAATTATTGAAGACTGGGAACCAGCGAAAGTAGCTCGTCGGAACAGTTGCCGTGAAAATATTTGTAGAAGAGACAGAGGGAGGCCATAGCACGATTGTAGACTAGATGCCAGATCAGGACCTATCATCTTGTATATCCGTCTCTGGATTTTGTCGAGGACCTTGAGACTTACAGCGGGAGCACCAGACTATAAATAACAGAAACATTCCATGCATCATTTTAAAACCGATGTTTTCCTTTTAGTTTTGTATTTTGTCTTCTTTTTTCATTCAATTTTGTATTTTCTTTTCTTTTCTTTTTTTTTTTTTAATCAATTTGAATTTTTTCCTTGTCTGGGTGGGGTTGTTGTATGATTTCTATTATTCGTTATCCATTGGACGTGCAACTAATTCTTTTTATCAGACGATTCTCTAGCTGTCACGTATTTCAAACTACAATGGCTGCCACTTTGCAAATGCGGAGCTCCATGGCATGATTACTATTAGTAGTTTGGTATCCAACCTTTCCGATGCTTCCTCATTGATCGCCATCAAGTCTTTTGTGTTGAATGTTGTAAAAGCTTCCTTTTTGACTCCACCAGCTACTTTTGCAGAGCATTGTTTTTTACAGTCAATATTAATTCAAAAGCCTTAATATTGTCAGTTGTAATCTAATTAGCGGTAACAATTATTACATTTTTGGTAAAAAGAATTTCAAAGAATTTTGGTTCGGAAATGTTTATTCATATAAATTCAGAGGCTCATTAATTTTTTCCATAAAATTTAACAAAGTTTCAAATAGCTATCTATCTATCTATCTATCTATCTATCTATCTATCTATCTATCTATCTATCTATCTTAGGCTATTCATTATCTATTTCAGCCTATTTATATTTAACTATCTATCATATTTATATCATATCATATCTATCTATCTATCTATCTAATTTTGTTCATAACTATCTATCTCCATCTCTCTTTCTCTCTCTCTCTCTCTCTATGCATATATATATATATATATATATATATATATATATATATATATATATATATATATATATATATATATATAAATTATTTATATTTTGTTCTAGTTTTCACATCTAGCTATCTCAGTCTTTTCATTATCTATGTAGATAGACAGATATCAATAGACTAAGATATATACATAGATAATGAAAAGACAGAGATAGATATCAAGAGTAAATATATATAATATATTATATATATATATATATATATATATATATATAGGTATATAATGAAAAGACAAGGATAGATATGAACAGTAGAAGCATTCATAATTTATATATATATATATGTGTGTGCATGAGTGCATATATATAAATATATATATATATATATATATATATATATATATATATATATAAATTATGTATGGTTGTATTGTTAATATCTATCTCTGTATTTTCCTTATGTATCTATCTTAGTCTGTTCATTTCCAACTCTTATTGTCTGTTTAGTATCTGTCTACCTATCTATTTAACTATCTTCTGTTCATATCTATCTTGTATGTTAATTATGTATTGCCTTTCTGTCTGTTTTTCAATTTTTGAAATGCGCTGACTGATGTGGCTACGTAATATTCTCATACAAAGGCTTTTATCTTTTCTTGTTAATTCTTATCCATTTTTATTCTGAAATTTTTCCATTAATAGATTTTTCTCGATTCACAAATAAATGCAATTACACCCTTTTAGTATCATACTAACAATATATAATAATAATTATTATAACAATTATTATTATTATTTTTATTATTATTATTATTATTATTATTATTATTATTATTATTATTATTATTATTATTTCTTTTAATTTCTGTTCTATAAATATTTTCTTCCGGGTCCCAACCAGAGACCGACGATCAAAAATGGCTTCATGACATTTTCCACTGATTAAAAACAAAACAAAATCAACTGTGATCATAGATGATTTACATAGATAAATTTCTTCATAATGTGTGAGCTCTACTTGCAAATACAATATTTCTTTAAGTCATGAGTTTCCAGGAATCTCTTCAATCAATCCCAATGATTCAACTACAAATGAAATTTTTGATGTCCTCATATGCCACATTCTTTCAGATTTCCACTTCAAGATCTTTGTATTTTGATAGTTTTTTGAAGATCTTCAAAGATACATTAAAATCTGCAGGAACTGCTATGTCAATAAAAAGCACATTCTGTATTTGTGGTCCTTGATCACGATGTCTGGGTGATTAGCTTTGGTATCTGTCTATATTTCTGAGATGAGGTATTATGTACACTATTTACATTATTCGGACTATTGTCCTTATCTTTGTCGCCATATTTATTACAACGTTTCGGCCTTCAGTATCTGTTTATATTTCTGAGATGAGGTATTATGTACACTATTTACATTATTCGGACTATTGTCCTCATCTTTGCCGCCATATTTATCTCAACGTTTCGGCCTTCAGTATCTGTCTATATTTCTGAGATGAGGTATTATGTACACTATTTACATTATTCGGACTATTGTCTTCATCTTTGTCACCATATTTATTACAACGTTTCGGCCCTTCAGTATCTGTCTATATTTCTGAGATGAGGTATTATGTACACTATTTACATTATTCGGACTATTGTCCTTATCTTTGTCGCCATATTTATCACAACGTTTCGGCCCTTTATATCTGTTTATATTTCTGAGATGACGTATTATGTACACTATTTCCTCATCTTTGTCGCCATATTTATTACAGCACTCGGTCGTTGTATGCTCCGGCCATCTTCAGGTGATTGGAATGTCGAACTGAGCCCTTAATTTCACTCACGGGGGTAGACTCAAGGACACCATCGCACAGTGGATAAAGGCGTTGGTTAGATCCAGTGACAGGACCCAAAGAATGTGAGTTCAATACCCGGTTAAGGCAGTGGAGAACTTGGAGAGGAGATAAATGATAACTGACATCCATTAGATATGGCACGTGGAACTAGAACAGGCTACCCCAGTGAGCAAAATAAATGGTTCCGTTTGACCTTCAAACCACCCTAAGAAGGCCGGAGTGTACAACGACCGAACCGTTGTGATAATATGGCGACAAAGATGAAGACAATGTAAATAGTGATTAGCATTGATTGTTCTGTCCGCATGTATTGTAAAGTTCCATAAAACTTTTACAGGTTCCATGTCTGTAAGCGGGTCTGCGTTATGTTCATAGCAGTTACTTGTAGCTTCTTCCCCGTAAAAGTTTCATATTTTCCTGTGCAGATATTGACCCCCTCTATCATGACGAGTTTTATATTCACTGGGCGCAACCTGTGCAACCTGATACAAACTGGTGAATTGTTTTCTGATCCTTATCACTGAATCTGAATTTTGGTCTAACAAATGTTTTCTGTATGTTAATTTTTAGTTAGCAAGCATTGGTCCCGTGCAGTAAGAATATACCCTTCTATTTCAGCTTTTAAACCTGCACTACGTTGCCACTGATATGTCTATGCTTGTTTAGTTCGCGTATTGGCCATGAATAGGCTCATTTTGTCATCGTATTTGCAATCGGTACATTGCATTTGATTTTAAATTCTTTTTCAAGATCTTTGCCGCTGCAGTAGGTGCATTATGGTTTATTTGTACTTAATCACCCATTTGAAATACCCTTTTGGATTTATTGGCTTCCTTTATTACTGAATAAAGTTTCTTTTTTTTTTCCTGTTCTTTCATACAAATCATCATCCGGTCTTTTGTAGTTTCCATTGAAGACCGATTGTTGTCGTTTTGTATGACAGTTCTAGTTGAACTAATCCTCTGCCTCCTTCGGACCTGGGCACATACAGACGATTAACAGCAACCTTAGGATGATGGATGCAATGGCTAGCGAGAAGCTTTCTGGTTTTGACATCCATTTGCTTAATGCCAACTAGGAGAATTTCAAAGTACTATATAACCATGGGATTTGCAAGAAGCTTTTAACCCTGAAATACGTATCCACTGTTGGGTACAGAGTTTGTCATGTTTCGTACAGGCAGAATATAGACCGTGAAGAGGTTTACCTTGCCATCGTTTCTGTATTTTGTTCATTGCCTTTGCTTTTGATTTCTTTTATAGATTATTTGCCGCTGAAGTAGGCGTATTTTTTACATGCATTTCTTCACCCACTTGAAATTCCATTGTAGGCTTCCTTTATGGCTGAATATAGTTTCTTATTTCTTTCATGTTCTTTGATACAGATCATCATACAGTCTTTTGTAGTTTCCTGGTATCTGAAGACCGATTGTTCTGATATTGTAAAACAGTTCTAGTCGAATTAATTCTCTTCCTCCTTCGGATCTGGACACATGCAGTCGATCAACATCAGCCTTGAGATGATTCATGCATGGGAAAGTGAGAGTTCTCGTTTTGTCATCCACTCGCTTAATGTCACTTACAGTCCAGTTAAAAGATGTTGAAGCTATGTTTCACCATAAGAACAGCCAAGGTCTTTATGGCTGATATTCTGTTTCGCGGAAGCTGCTGAAAGCGCCAGGGGTGGCAGTACCGCCTTAGCCACCAAAACTCTGTTATCTCCCCTGGTTGGCAGGCTATCGCACGTGATTTCACAGATCTTATGTTGAGAATTTGCATTCTTGTATCATTATTATTATTATTATTATTGTTATTATTATTATTATTATCGTTCTTAAAATGCTTTAATGGTGAGATGCAATGTAACTAAAATCTTGAATTGGTCCTGTGCAGCATGAATAAATCCTTCGGTTCAATGCGTAGCAACTGATGGTTATGGGGTTTGGTTTGTTTGTACGGGTAAAATACTAAGCGTGAAGAGGCTTACTTTGCCATAGTTTCTATATTTTCTTCATTGCCTTTGCTTTTGATTTCCTTCATAGACTATTTGCCGAAGCAGTAGGCGTATTTTTTTTTTACATGCATTTCTTCACCCACTTGAATTTCCATTGTCGGCTTCCTTTATGGCTGAATATAGTTTCTTATTTCTTTCATGTTCTTTGATACAGATCATCAACCAGTCTTCTTTAGTTTCGAGCCATCTTTGAAGGGCGATTGCTGTAGTTTTTTTTAAACTGTTCTAGTTGAACTAATCCTCTGGCCTCATATCAACATCAACCTTGAGATGGCAAGTGAGCAGCTTTCTCGTTTTGACGTCCATTCGCTTAATGTCAGCTATGGTCCAATTAAGGATGTTGAAATTGCATTGCACCACGTGTACAGTCAAGGTGTTTATGACTGATATTCTCTTTGGTGAAATTAACTCCGTATTCAGTATCAGACGCACACGTCTGTAGTGTTGTTTCCTTCCTTTCTCCTTCATTTGGCCATGTTATATTCCATCTCGATAATTCCTATGTACCTATAGGCTTCTTTTTGTTCCAGTTCCCTAATCTTTGTGGCAAAATCTTGATCTATTGAATATGTTTCTGTAATTCTCCGTTATTATTATTATTATTCCATCAACGTATTTCTTTGGATTTCTAAGCGCTTCCGTCATATTTTAGCTAAATTTTTTCATCCATCCTGACCATAATTTTCAGTAACTTTTTATGAACTTATACCGCCTTTGATCTCAAGAAAAAGATTCTGCTTCGAATATCTGTATATTCTGAACTCCTTGAGATCACTGAAAAGACAAAAAAGGGTTGCATGAAGAAAAATATTAATGGTCTGTAATATCGGTTCTGCAGAGTTAACCTCGTACTGCATCACTTCCAATACCTGTTCTATTTCTTATACTTCAATGAGTCACTTAAACACACCAACTGTACGTCGTAGTGTTGCATACTGATATTCTAGATATGTGTCATAAAGAAATTTTCAGTTCTTCCATACATACAATATTGCTGCCACATGTGGCCCTGTGCCATTGCTATTCATCTTAATGTTGTGGATTCCGAGATGAATTCAGTCTCCAATGAAGAACAAACGCAAGAATTAAATATAAGAAATA